ACCTGCTTGACCCAGCCTAGCAGTGCACTTACTTAGCCACTGAGATAGCATGTCTTATAAGCAAGAAAAAGACTCATCCATCAGCTGAGCTGCACCAGGAAGTGAACTGCATAATAGTGTTTTGAAGTTACCACTCTAAGTTTGTATTTACTTCCTTCAGAAGTTAAAGGGTATGTAGAGGGAAGAGGGCATTCTCTAATATCAGAGGTAGTTATATTTTGGTTCTTGCTATACCTTTTTAAGTAGAGATTCCTTTGTAAAAACAAATTGATTTTAATTAGTTATTAGTGATAGTGAGATGTCCGTTAGTTAAATGATACTGGAGGAGATACTAACTAGCACTGGCAAATGATATTGGGTCACTAATGACAAGTGATTAATATTTGGGTGAACGCACTGGTATTAGGGCTCACAATAATAGTATTAGAAGAACTCTACTGGCCTAAGGGGTGCCACTAGAACTCTGAGACACAGAGAGATAAAGACATGAAAAATTCTGTTTAAAACTAGTTTAAAACTGGCTATCTGCAGTTTGTTAATTTTTTCTCCTTCCTCTCCTTCCCCTGCCTCTCCAGTGATCTTCACAATACTGTAATTCTGAGTTGATATGATGAAGAAAAAAAAAGCCCCAGATCTGTCTCTTCCACTATTAGTATAGTGGTATGGTGAAAAATTAAAGGATGAACAGATGATGAATTGCCGAACTATGACATATCTAAAGGGAGAGGTGGGGCAGCTAGGTGGCACAGTGGATAGAGTGATTGGCTTGGAATAAGGAGGACTCATCTTCACGAGTTCAAATCTGGCCAAGACAAGCTGTGTGAACCTAGACAAGTCATTTAACCCTATTTGTCTCAGTTTCCTTATCTGTAAAATGAGCTGGAAAAGGAAATGGTAAACCATTCCAGTATCTTTGCCAAGAAAACCCCAAAAAGTGAAGTCAGACATGACTGAAATGACTCAACAACAAGTAAAAAAGGAGACAGTATGATATAATAGATAACAGAGTGCTGGTCTGGTCTCTTAGTAAGACTCAGGTTCAAATCTGGTCTCTGATGAATATTGGCTGTGACCCTAGGGAAATCATTTAATCTCTCTGTGGCCCTAGGCAACTCTTAAGACATGTGCCAACCCCTCACCAATGTGGAAGAAGATGTCACTAGTTCACTATAAGATTACAGGTCAGTTCTGCCTCCACCAAAAACCAAAAAAAACCAAACAAAATAAAATACTACTCTCTATTAGGATCAAAAACAAATGATTTCACATCATCCTTCTTAGAGTCAGAGAGGCCATTAGATATCATCTAATCTAAGCTCCTCTCTTCTAAATCCATATGCCAGCTTTTCTCAAATTTTTTAGCCTCAGCATTTAAAAAATTTTTTTAAGGTGGTGGCTATGTGAACAGAAAGAAGAGATACACTCAAAGGCCAAATAAACTGGTTTGGAAGTTTAAAATTTTAAAATTTTGACCCTAAATTGCTTGTTTATGTGGGTTATATCTATTGATATTAATAAAATTAGAAATTAAAACTGATAAAATTTTAAAATATTTGTTAATTCATTTAAAAACAACAGTAAACCCATTACATGCTGACATAAATAACATTTTAATGAAAAATAACTTTTTCCATACAAAAAAGCTAATGAGAAAAGTGGCATTGTTTCACCTCCCCCCCCCCCCAAATCTAATAATGTCTGGCTTAATAAAAGGCAGCTGAATGGTCATATCTGCTTTATTCATCATGTTCTGTTTTGCAGTATTTGAAGAAAATCCAGCTCCAGTCTGTGAATTTTGACCTTACAGACCCTCTGAATGGATCTTACCAACCTTCCTGCCTCTTACCAGTAGTCTGTGTACCACACTTTGGGAACTGCTGCTTTTTGGGTCATCTCTGAGTTTTGGAACTGAAAGAATTTTCTAAGGGCATTCAGTTTGGAGAAATGTTACATAACATATCTGGATTTCAGTAAAACATTTGACCATGTCTCATAAAATTCTTGTGTAAAGGATGGATGGATATAAATTGGATGAGCTTACAGTTAGGTGAATTTGGAGCAGTCTTGTGAGGTAGGTAGTAAAAAGTATTATTATCTTCATTTTATAGATGTGGTTAGCTGAATCTCAGAGATTAAGTGAGCTCAGGGTCACAGAGCTTCCAAAGGCAGGATCTAAGCCAAGGTCCTATGCTACTGGTATTTTGCTATATATATATATATATTTTTTTTTCTTTTTGGTAGTGGTGGTGGGAGAAGGAGAATGAGAGAGGGAAGGAGAAGAGATGATTTCCTATTGAAATGGAAGAAAGAATGCATTTATTCTGCTTGGACCCAAAAAATAGACCTAAGACCAGTAGGTATAAACTATAACGAGGCAGATTAGAAGGAATACAACTTAACAATGTCGAGCTGTCCAAAAATGGAAAAGGTTGCCTGGTTACCTGTCATTCAGTGTTTAGGAAAAGACTCAGCTGACCATATGCTGGCGAAGCAGCAGGAGGGGCTTATGCTTTAAGAAGGAGTTGGACTAGATGAGTATGGTACGGTATAAAGAACACTGGGTTTAATTAGAGGACCTCCATTGGAATCTTGGCTCTATCCTTTACTGCTTGTGTGTGAGACCATCAACAATCACATCAACAAACATTTATGAAGTTCCTTCTGTGCCAGGAATTGTGCTGAATACCATGGATAGAGTGACAAAGAATGAAATTATCCCTACTTACAAGGAATTGACATTGCAATGAGAGGAAACCCTAAGTAAATCTATAAGTGTATACAGAATGAATAAAATATTAGTAATAGTAGTTAAATGCAAGGTCATTTGGGAAAGAGGGCACTAGTACTTGGGGGATCAAGAGAGGCTTCTCTTAAAAGGTGGTGCTTGAGCTGAGTCTTGAAGGAAGAGAGGCACTGGTGAGAAGGGGGGACAGTCCAGGCATGAGGAATGGTCAGTGCAAAGGGAGAGAGAGAACATGGAAATGTTGAATGAAACTGAAGCCAGTCTGGCTGGATCACAGAGTGTGGGAGGGGAAGTAATGATGAAAGAAACTGGAAATATGGTTAAGGGGCCGTCTTGGGAAGTGCTTTAAAAGCGAAAAAGAGAAGTTTATATTTTATTCTAGAGGCAACAAGGAGCCCTTGAAGTTTATTGAGCAGGAAGATGACATGGTCAGATCTGTGCTTAAGGAAAATGCCATATCGAGGATGGACTGGAGTGGAGAGAAATTAGAGGCAAGGAGACTAATTAGGAGGCTGCTGCTGCAATAATCCAGGTGGGAAGTGATGAGGTCCTAAAGGTGGTGGCTATGTGAACAGAACAGAAGAGATACACTCAAAGGCCAAATAAACTTTGGTTTGGAAGTTTAATTATTAAAATTAGTATACAGTACTACCACGTAAACAACAAAAATGTCAACAACTTAGCCCCACAGTGTTGGGAAAATAAGCTGTTGTGACATTTCAGCACCCCTCAGTGTTTTCTGTACATTTCACAGAAATTATGAAAAACTGTACACAACAACAGTTACATCCAGAATTTAGAGACTGGGTTTTTTTTGGTCCAGATTTTCAGCTAATATACCCAGGAAGGTCAGAGATGGAGAAAGATCTACTTCCTTTCTTGCTTACAGTTTTCACAAATAACTACATTGCACAGTTTTATTTCATAAAGCCTGCTCAGATAAAAACCACTTCAAATAATTTAAAAGCTCAAGTCTGGCCTAATCTAGAATTAGTAATATGTGCCAGAGAGAAAAATATATTTTTTCAAAAACGCCTCTTTTCTAAACATCTTGGTACAATCAACTATTGAACTGTGTCTTTTGTCACTCTTGTAGTAGAATACTTTGAAATAAAAACAAATTAAAACCACTTTTTCTCAGAGTCTCATTAACATCTGTTCTTAGAGTCAGATGTGGTAATTTGACCACAGAGTCAATGCTAAGCTGAGATCGGAAATCATATCCAGTAACACAAGTTGGAATTACTATATCATCTTCATCTTCTATTGGTGTGAAGAACAGTATTTTTTATTTCTTTTTTATTAATTCACATTTTGGCTTCACAGACATTCTGAAAAGGGTAGACACACATGGAAAGAAAACTCTGTGGTATTACCCAAAGTTCAAGTGAGGAGTATGTGAGAAGCAATGAAATGATCAGCAGAGAGAAAAGGAAAACTGTTCTCTTAGTGGACCATACTGGACCAGTATGAAGTCTTCTGAAATTCACAAAAACTGAAACTGCTCTGAGAAATAACTATGTATTTCGCATCCTTATTGAAAATGGAGCCCAGGCAGCTGATGACCACAAGAGAACAGACCATGGCTGAATTAAAACAAAACAACAACAACAAATAATTACTAAAAACCATCACCCTTGTTGGTGTGCTTTTAATGCTTCAAGTAATCTGAGGTCTTCTAGGAGAAGAAAAATAAAAATGCTTTTACTTTTTACTATCAAAAGAAGGGAAATGAGCCACGATAACATGAAGATTAAGTTTAAACAGGCCTGCTGCTAAGACTCTATCCAATAAAATATCTCTTAAAAGTCAATGTAACTATTACATAAGGTTTTTTTTAAATAGCTGCACATTCCCACTTAACCTCTGTGCAGATTGAAAAGTTGATCAAGAAAATTTAAGCTATTTTAATTCATGTTAAATAAAACTCTGTACAGATTGCACATATTACACCAAGTAGCTTAAGATCACAGTTACAGAAAGGAAAATACCACCTACTCATCTGACAACGTGTGCCAGCCCACAAGAAAATCACAGACCTCTAAGGTCAAGACTAACATAAACTGCGATATTGTGTAAACAGTAAAAAAGGTTGTTTTTGAACCTCCCAAGCAAGATCTTATTAGGATACATGCACATACCCCATGTATGTCTATATATTTAAAATATACATATATACACATATATGTATATACACACATAGTATGTATTAGTATCTATATGTATATATATATGCATAGATACATACAGTGGGTGTGTATGTACATGTGTACCAATAAGAGGTATCTATATCTACCTATATCAATATAGATATATCCATAGTTATCTATATGTATTTGTAGATATGTATAGTGATTTAGCCATATCAATAGAAACGGGTATACCTGCATCTATTAATATAGCTAAATCTCCATATGTAGTTATATATATCTATATATACATATAAATAGCTAGAGATAATATCTGTAGTGATGGATATAGGTAGATACATACACATACATACACATATACATATATATAAAAAAACCTTTAGGAAGATCCTAAGTTTTTCCAGTGACTTGCTCAGTACCACAGAAAATTTCTTTCACATTGGGCTTATAAAAGGGCAGTCATTGCAGTCTGGTTTATTGGTTTGAGGCAGTCCCTAGGAGCTGAATAACCATCATTCATTAAGGGATTCATTTGAGGCTTTTGGTAGTTGGTATCACAGTCTTCTGTGGTTAAGAAGCTTTTGCCTTTAGGTTTATCGTAGTCACCCTCCCCTGGCTTAAGGCCTTGAGGCAGTTGGTAGTCTCCATGTTTGGCATCCTTTCTACCCGAATTGGAGAAGCTGCCAGAGGAAAGGGAATGTTTATGAGCTGGAGCAATGACAGGCACATTGTAGCCCCCTTCAGGAAATGCTTTCTCTCTCATTAAGTGCCGTTCTACAATAGGAGTGGCATACTCAGGCTCCTGATTTGTCAAAGGCAGTGCATACTCGTGGCGGTTGGTTGGGTGAGGACAGGCATAGTGGTTCTCTGGCTCAGAGTTCTTCCCTGTCTCATTAGCTTCTGTGTCCATTGGTCTGAAGGTGGAACCTTTCCTCATCACTGTCCCAGTTCCAATCATGAGAGGTTGATGATAATCTAAAAACCAAACAGATGATAAAACCTAGTCATGTAAATGATACTGCCATATTATTTTAGTCATCACACATTCTATTTGTCTGTAGAAGATAGCAATTATTGTTCCTGGAGAGGAGGGATTGAAGTTCGTGAACACTATTCTTTTTGTCCCAATACCACTTTGCCCTTCCATCTCTCCACCCCTATCCCCCCAACCTTCCCCCACCCCAACAACAATGAAAACCTTCTAATTTAGGTACAATACAGTAATGCACGTGTATCAGTTGGTATCCAATTCTTCAATTAGTTTGCTGTATTTGGAATATGCATCAGCTGACATAGCAGACCAATAAAAAATTAAATAATTATTGAATAGCAAAAGTATCTATGAGAGATTTTCCCCCCTAAGCTGACACATAGCAGTCAACCTAGTTTGTGCCAGGCACTGTGCTAGATATTGACCATAAGATGGTAAAATAGCAATGGTATCCTTATACTTAAGGATATATACACATGGAAAGATATGACAGTCTAAAAAAAAAGGGGGGGGCAGCTAGGTTCTGCAGTGGATAGAGCACTGGCCCTGAAGTCAGGAGAACCTGAGTTCAAATCCAGCCTCAGACCAAACACTTGACACATACTAGCTGTGTGACCCTGGGCAAGTCACAACCCCAATTGCTTAAAACAAAAACAAAAACAAATTTTAAAAATTTTAAAAAAAGATATGACAGTCTAAGACAAAATGTGAGAGATTAATCAATCATTGAACCACTTATATTCCTTCACTCTTTTCCTCCTCATATATGACTTCTCTTGACATTGGTCGGGCTCCACATCTCCATTCCCCTGATCTCCCTCACTTGGTTGATCCACAGGTGCACTGAACATATTCATGGGCCTTGGCTTGGCCACTTGGCCTTAGAGATATGACCATTCTCACCTCTCTGAAGCTCCTAATAATTCACCATGACTAACACTCCCAGTCTTACCTCTTACTTTTACCCTTTCCCTAATGTCAGCAATTAAGACTCTCACTTCTTTCAATTGTTAACTCCTTAAGAAGTTATTCTTGACTAGTAAATCAAGAATAAGAGTCCTCAATACCTCATTACTATCATAGCCAACTCCTTCTAGCCCCCCAGAAAATTCCACATATCTCTCCTTTAGAGGAGGAAATGAGTCAAGGAAGGACATGAAGTGATGGGAGAAAAGAGATAATATTTACATATGATAAAGAATAGCGACCAGCTAATTAAAAATTTATTTTATTACATAAAAATACCTATACTTTGAAAATCTTAAGAAATGTTATTATGACTACATGACTGTCCCACATCTTTTTTTTAAGGTCATACAACTCCTTAAGGATAACCTTTACCCCATTTCTCCCACATGATTCCTCATTGGCAATATACTGCAGCCTCTAAGACCCTTTGGGTGATATGTAATTCTAACTTCACATTTTAATTTAACAATTTTTTGGAGACTACATCATTCTACTGTTACAATGTAACCACATAGAATCACTGGAAATATATCTACGTTAAAAATATGAATATTTTTAAATAAAAGCCTTTGTTCAGTGCTTTTAATGACTTCACTGTTCTCCCTAAAACAATTTCCCAATCTCTTTCTACTGTTTAATTCTGGGCCTACTTTATTATATATCTTCAGTTTCTGCCCAGCAAGTTAAAGGTAACATCTTACAGTGGAAAAACACTGGATTTGGATCAGAGGCCCTGGCTTTAAACTGGGGGTCGGCTACCTATCTGACTCTGGGCAAGTAACGTCATCTATGTTTTATGTACATTGACTTCCATTAGAATATAAACTCATTGAAGGCAAGGACTGTTTTGTATATTTCCTTTGTATCCCCAGTCCTTAGCATAGAGTCTGGCACACAGTGGGTGATCACATAAATGCTTGTTGATTAGAGAGTTAGACTGAACTATTAGTATAAAAAATACTTATTCTTTTTAAGTCCAAAGACCACTGAAAGTACTGCATAATTCTGCAAATGTGATTTCATCCTAGATGAATCAGGGCCCACATCACTCCTCATATGCTTCACTTGTTCGGGATGCAAACACACACACACACCCATATATCTATACATGTGTATGTATATATGCATACGTATATGTGTGTAAGTGTATGTATGTATATATACTAGGTTGTACATTCAGTGATATGCTCACTGCATATCTGATCTTAAATTCATCTCAACCTGTGAAATCTGAATGTGGCATGGTTCCTACCTGATTTCACCATTTCTCTAGGTAGGTGGAGCACCACTGGTGAAAAAAAGTCACAAAACTGAGACGATTTGATACATTACAAATTCATGGCATATATACTAAGCCAGGCCCTTTCTGACGCTTGATAATCCGTGTGCTCTACTCTTATCAATTCTTTATCCTTTCCCCTACAGCAATTATACCATTTTCTTCTCCCTTCTCACTACCAGATCTACTCCCTAACACTTAATGCAGATGGTCTAGCCTCCTACTTTATTGAGAAAAATGAGGCTGACCAAAGTTTTCTCAGTTCCAATCCCCTTCTCCATTCTTTAAATTTTCTCACCATCACTCCATAACTTTCTTTTTTCCCTCTGGTCAGAGAAAAAGAGAAACCCTTATCACTCCCAAAGACTAATCTAGAACCAAAGAGTCTTAGTATTGTACAAATATCACACAATAAGAGAACTAATAATTACAGTTTCTAGATGTTATTAACATCTCTGCCTTATCCACCACTCTACAAGTTCCACCATGGAAGAAGAAAGGGCTTGTACAGGACTAAGAGATTTATTATATTTTTTTCTGCTTTATAGGTCACCCTGGACCAAAATATTTATCACCTACTGGTGATGAGTTTAGTTTCTCTGTTCTTAAGATAGTCCTAAGACAACAGATGCAGCCTGGAATTAGGAGGAATTTATTAAACACCAGCTATGTGCTAGGCACTGTACTAAGTGCTTTACAACTATTATCTCTTTTGATCCTCATAAAAGCTCTGAGAGGTCGGTGCTATTACCATCTCCATTTTACAGTTGAGGAAACTGAGGCAGACAGAGGTCAAGTGACTTGCCCAAGGACACAAAGTTACTAAGTGTCTGAAGCCATATTTGAACTCAGGTCTTTCTGACTCCGAGCCTAACACTCTATCCACTGCATCACCTAGCCACTTACGATAACACTTGAAGTCTTTCCTGAGCTTGATGGAACCTGCTCCAGTTTGTACTCTATTGACAGTCACTGAGAATCCAGGCTAACCTCCAAACCATCATGAAGCAGTGTTGTAGGGCTTTAGCAGAGGAATATACCAAACATTAGTTTAATGAGTGCCAAGCCAGTAATCTGTAATATACACATTTCTAAACTAATAATACTAGATCTAGAAAAAGGGCATACCCACAATATTAGATATATTTCACATTTCTTCTTTCCAAACAGGAAAAAATAATGTTCCCTCCTCCTTAGCCTCACTACTCATAACTTCAAAACTTTCAGAAAATCTCTAGAATGGGATGGTCTAGTTGACTATTTTTAAAGTTACTGCATAAAGCAGATGCCCATTGATTGGAGAATGGCTAAGAAAGAAATTGTAAGTAAATATAGTGGAATCTTACTGTGCTTTAATATCATGAATACAGGCAAATATGGGAAGACATTAGAACTGATGATACAGAGTGAAATAAGCAAATCAAGTGAGATAACAGATGTAAAGTACTTTGTAAACTTTAAAGTGCTATAAAAATGCTAGCAGTCATTATTAGTAAACAAAATCAGGAAAACAGTAGACACAATGCTAACAATATATGAAATAAAACAATTTAAAAAAACAACCAAAACTAAATGCTGTGAAATAATTATTATGACCTAGTTTGGCCCCAAAGAAGAATATGAAAAGGTACCTCCCCCAGCTTGTTTGCAGAAGTGGGAAACTATGGGTACAGAACACTTCTAATCATGTGAAACTTTTTTGATGTTTCATGAGTTTTGCTGACCTACAACTTTCCCATTCTTTTTTTATCCTTTGTAATAAGGGATGGCTCATTGGGAGGAGGAGGGAGGAATATATTGGGAAATATAGGTGGTGTGAAAACAACAGATAGCCATGAGTTTATCTTTTTTTTGAAATCTGATTGTGTATACCATGTCAAGACTACCAATTTTAAAAGGAAAAGAATGTACTCAAATGCTATTAACTATAGTGACCCTACCATGCTACATTATGGAGAACATGACTATCTTCCTTTGATGATTTAGAATTACTGTGAAATACGATCCAGGTCAACATCATGTCTATTAGTTATTAGAACTGTTAGCAATTGGGTAGAATCAGTACTGAACACATGGCACACATCACAGATTCTCGGTTCTTTAAATATCTTTCTTATGGGGGCTTGTTCACAGCTTCTCCAAAGTAGAATGCTAGAAAAAAAATCCTGGTAATGATAGTTCTAATTTTTGGATTCGACATAAATGAAAGTTGACTAAAATCATGTTTTCCCATTGGTCCTATTATTGCCTGATCACATAAAGCCCCTCGGGTCAGAGGAGATGATTTTCATCAGAGGTTTTGACATTTACCTGCCATGTCACTTGTGACCAGGTCTAATTTCTGCGTCATCTTTTCATTTTCATAACTGATGGTGAACTCTGATGACTGACGTCTGACAAAGGGCTGTTTGAGCAGTTTCCAACATCCTGGAATAAAGATGTAGTAGTTAAAGAAAAAAAGGGAAAAAAAAATCCAGAAACAATCCACATGTGTACAACACACTTTGCTAGAGGAGTTTTCAAAGGGAAAAAGATCCATTATAAATGCATGTCCTGGGCTTTGTTGAGGCTACCAAGGTTCAGAAAAGCTATGATGTTGGTTGGGCTATAGGGAAATGCAACACACACACACAATATATATATACATACATACATACATATATATATATTATATTATATAATGTTCTTGCTTTCTTGGATGTAGAATAACCTTTAGAAGAGTCAGTTTGATTATAGGGATTTTCAGGATGCTAAAGAACAGTAGCATGCTGCATTTGTTGACAAATGCTAGTAATTTTTGTTTTTTTGGTTAGGCAGTGGGGTTAAGTGACTTGCCTAGGGTCACACAGCTAGTAAGTGTTATGTGTCTGAAGCCGGATTTGAACTCAGGTCCTCCTGAATCCAGGGCCGGTACTCTATCCACTGCGCCACCTAATGCTAATAATATTTACAAAGGCTGTCCTCATACCTGGCAGCTACTACATCCTTGTAGTTTCCTTCATAGCTCAGTTCAAGCACCACTTTCTACATGACGCTTTTCCTGATTCCCTGAGCTCTTAGGCTTGCCCCACAAAATTACCTTGTATTTATTTTTTTATATTCTCATATATTGACTTCCTCAATTGGATGTAAGCTCCTTGAAGGTGGGAGCAATTTCATTTTTGTATCTTCAGTACCAAGTGCAGTGTCTGGCACTTAGTAGGCACTTAATGCTTGCTGATTGTGATTAATGTGGGAAAAGGCTCTTACCTATATTCACTGACTCTCACATTAGTCTTGTTTCAGGGCAATCCCCTGAGCCAAATCCTATCCAGTCTTCTATTTAAGAAGCTCATTAGGCTATAATAAGATCCTGAAAATTGAGTATAAGCTCTTCCTTGCTATTTATAGGGCTGCCTGCCCTCAGTTTTCAAACTTCTTGGTAGGGGTAGGGTAAGATTGGGGGTTTGGCAGGGGTAGGGTAAGGTTGGGGGGCCTTCAAAACTTCTTGTTGGCTATTGAGACAACTGAGTTAATTTCAATTCATAGGTGGCCATTTAAAATCTTTTTTTGGGGGGGGCAATTGGGGTTAAGTGACTTGCCCAGGGTCACACAGCTAGTAAATGTCAATTGTTTGGTCTGAGGCTGGATTTGAACTCAGGTCCACCTGACTTTAGGGCCGATGCTGTATCTACTGAGCCACCTACCTGCCCCATTTAAAATCTCTTCTCAAGAACAGTGGCATACATGCAGTGGCCAAATACTGAAGGGGATCATGATGGACTTAGAGTGAACCACAACAATTTTGGTTTCTCTGGACTGTAGACATGGAGCACATTTCTGCAATCCCATTGCTACCTTAAAGACATGACAAGGCCCTGCATTAGTACTTGCTGTTCTAACATAACTAAGAGAAAGTGGGCATGTTTTTTAAACTGGGAAATCCAGCAACTTCACAGAAAAGTCAATAAAAACTGTTAATATTTTTGATCAACCTGTTTTCTGTGCCTCAGCTGATCCATAAGGATTTCCTTTCGTCTTCCTTCTAGAAGGGTTAAAAAAAAAAAGAAAAGAAAAATAAGATATAGAATTTAACCATCCCTGAAAGTATGTTTTTGTCCCTACATCTCCAATACAATTGCTTCTAACTAGAAGAAAGTTATTGTACTTTATGTTTTGGAAACTGGCATCTATAAATGTATTTTTGATCACCATTTATTTTACTGCATTATGTACAAAAACTTGACCCTAGAAGTACTTGAGGGGGAAAAAAGCACCAAGCTAAAATGCAATCTTAAAGAGATTAAAATGTAAAAAGACATCTCAAATTCAACTTTGCAGAGTAAGGGCTTTTATTGTAGTCTACTATGCACCAGCCTCAAATAATAGGCTCTCTAAAGGCATTAAACTAAAGTACACTGAAGCCAACACAATTGTTTTAAGCAAATAACAGCAGTCTGGAGCTTTAAACTCTAGACATTTTTATATCCCACATCAACTTTTAATCAGAAAGCTACTCATCATTTTGTTTGCACTAACATGCAGAGAACATTCCTTCCATACCAGAAGCCAAAGCTTCTTAAATCATGGCAAGAAATTATAATAAGGTACATATTAATTAACAAGAAATGTTTTCATTCTTAGTCCTGATCCTACTCACTGTAACCCAGGATTGGAATCATGGGATTTTTGAGTTAAAAGGGACCTTAAGACCTTATGTTGTTGAATCATTTTAGAAACCGGAGCCCAGAGAGTTTCTAAGTTCATGTAAGTAGCTGACCTCAAATCTCCAGATGCCTAGTCCAATGTTCTTTTTATTCTAACACACCACTTCCAGGAGATGACTTTTGTCCCACAGATTTAAAAAAAGAAGCACCTGAAGGTGTCAATGAGGAAGATTTAACACAGTTCAAGATCCCTTTATTAAAGGAACAATGTCATTTCCAGAATATGCTTCTTCAACAAGGTACCAAATTCAAATTTAATGCTTCTATCTTACAAAAATTACTTATCATCTCCCCAGATTACACTCACAAATAATATTATTTTGAAGACTGTTTTTCCATGCACTAGTGAAGGAAGCCAGTGAAGCACCCTTTTAGGTTCTACTATTTTTATTTTTATAATTATTAATTAAAATTAAATAGGCACATACTTTTTCACAGCAGCGAAGATACTCATTCCAACTACAACCAAGACCACAAAGAGCACCAATGGAATGATTATAGTTCTCACTTTTATACCTAAAAAAAATTACATTCTGACTCAGATCAACAGATTCCATTTATTTAAAACTGAACAATATGACTCTTGAGCCAATAAAAGTACAGAGAAAATTAGCATATATGATATTGTAGAAATTGAGGCCCACCCACTAATATTTGCAGGCTTTGTGCACTGAGATGAATTTTATTGCTGTGGAATTGAAATACCAGAAACTCAGGGTGAAACTTGAGAAAACAATATTTAAAGTAAATGTTAATTTAAAACAGGCCTAGTCCCTGTGCTTCTCAGGGATTATAATCTGTTCTGGGAGGGTTGTTTGAAATGGGCCCACCCACTCAGGATTTCTTCTAGCTAGTTGACCAAAGTTCACAGTGGAACCTACAAAGTAGTTCAGCAGCACTGAAGTTCTAGGCATTCCCCACCAAGGGACCTCAGGGCTGTACTATTCTTTAGAATTTGGAGTATGTAGGTTAGAAAGGGAAGAAAAGATAGGAATGTAGATTCCCCCACCTACCCCCAACAGAATGTGAGTTCTTAGAGAGCTGGGACTGTTTCCTTTTTGTCTTTTATATTTCAGCATCCAGAATAGAATCTGGTATACAGGAAGCACTTAGTAAATGTTTGTTAAATAAGTGAAACCTGCAGGTTGATAATACCAAATAGCATTTGCCTTTGGGCTTCAGGGAATCTCTTAAATCACCATGAAAATATTACAACAGGGCTGCAAGGCACATCAAGGAGGAAGCAAATAGTATGGGGTGACTATGTTTTTGGTACAGCTCTTTCTGCTTAGTGAAACAGTGGGTAATTTTAAGTAGCTGTTGGTACAAGCCCCACACTGTTTGCCCTTCCTAAAACCTATGAAAACAAAGAAAGGGAGATTGCTCTTTGCTCCTTACCCTCCTTACTCTTTAATCCCAGAAGGTATCCCTGAAAGCCACAATTGAAAAAACCTCTAGGAAAGTCACCTTGTATAAAGTAGGTACTCCACAAATGTGCCTTTGTTAAATGAATATAAGGAAGGAAAAGAAGGATGGGTAGGGATAGTGAAAGAATATGCAATGAAGAGTGAACAGAAAGACTGTTCATTTGATGTCCTTGTGTATGAAGAAAAGAGGGAAGACAATAAGAAAAACAAATCAGCATCTGAACTCACAAAACACCTGTATTCAGAGCACCTAAATTGCTAATAATTATTAATCTTATTAATCTCTCTAATTAATGGGGAAAATTCAGGTGTCCATTTTCAAAATGCACCATGCGCCCCACAGGTTCCATTAGGAACTTGGAACAGTGGGATTCACTATCAAACTTAGGTTGAAATAAAGCTTTAACATTTACAAAATGCTTCTTTCCTCACAAAAACCTTCTAGGAGAGGTAATTCATGTATTGTACAAATGGAGAACATTGTAAATAGGTTCAGTGCCATAGGGGAATTGCCAGTAATGAATATGTTGTTATTGAATATCGTAATCATCGAACTAGGACCACAGGGCTTCCTGTGGCCCCTAATAGGTCCTTACTAGCTGCTAACCTAACAAGAAATGATGGATTTAGAGTGCTTCAGAGTGCAGAATGAGCCATACTTTTTTTTTGGACACAACCAATGTGGAACAGGGACTTTGTTTTGCTTGATTACACATGCTTGTAATAGAGTTTTTGTTTTTCCTCTTTTCTCAATGAAGGAGGTAAGAAGGAGAAAGGCAGTTTTTTTAAATAAAAAAGACACTTTAATTTTAAAAGTGTATAAAAAACAAATACAAGACAACTAATAAAAAAAGAAATTGTTGGCTTAAAAGCTTAGAATAGGTCAGTCAGAACACAATTCTCAGCTTTTCTCTGCAAGTTACATGTGGAAAGCTGGTAGAAAATTAGAGAAAAGAGTCTTCTCAGAAGACAGTCAATTCTGAGATGAATGGCAGCCTTTCTTGGTTTAGGAAATGGGTGGAGTACCTTTTGGAGAGGCAATGCGGCGTAATGGAAAGAACATTGGTCTTGGATTTGAAAGCCCCGAGTTTGGATCCTAACCTTGGTGCTTTTTCAGCTCTGAAAACTATGGATTCACCTTGAGAAGCCACAAATCCTCTCTTTTTAAAATGGACATAATAGTAATTTGAATACCTATTTCATAGGGTCATCCTGAAGAAATTGCTTTGAAAACCTTAAAATACTATATAAATGCAAGTTACTATTATCATCATCACCATTATTATCCTCAGTTACCTCATCTGTAAAAAGGGGATAATAATAATAATAATAAAATAACAGTGAGGGCCTACTTTTGAGAATCAAATGAGATAATAAATATAGAGCACTTTGCCAACTGTAATGTGCTTTGTAAATGCTAGCTATTATTGTGATTAAAGCAGCTGAGATGCAAAACCAAAAAGACCAAACAGTAAGTGACTTGTACCTCTTTCTTCTTCAGATGAAGGAATGGGCTTTGTGAGAGTTTTGTCTTCTTTCCCAATTGAGACACCTGTACTTGGACTTGGCTTGTGCCAAATAAATGAATTATTACCTGCCAAGGGAGAATGGGGAATGGGGAAGGGAGAAGGTTTAAAAAAAATCTACATTCAAATACAAGAATAGTGGTACTCAAAGGAAACATTAGGAATCTACATATTCATGAATTTCGACGAGTCCTACCTTGTGTAATCTGACAACCAATCAGTTCCACTTTCAGAGCAATTCTCTGGTGCCAGGTCTTTGGAATAATTCTCACATATCTGGCTATGATGGGAGGGATGAAATTGTTCCGTACTGGGTCTCTAAAGTTAGAGTTAGCTTGAAATATCTGTAAGAACAAGTTCCTTTTTTTTAATCTAGAGTATGTACATGTGTGTATGTGTGTATATGTGTATGTATATATGTATATGTGTATATATACAGATATATATGTGTGTGTATATATATATGGTTAGTGCACCAATCTAGCTATGAAAATTATCTACATAAAACTAAAATAACTTGTGTTCATTAGAAACTCCTGTGATTGTTGACAAAGCCAGAAATTTTCTGAGTCCAAGCAAACTTGAGTTTCTGCCTGAAACTTGTTTGGGGGGTAATGAAGATAAAACTGCCCAGTTTAGCTTGATTATCTGGAATTAATGTTGGTTTGATGTCCATAAAAACATAAAAGATAGTTTATATCTTATCATGAAATCTCCGATTACTACTCACCTCTTTTCTACTTAATGTGCCCACCAACCTCTACCTATAAATTCCCAAAGCCAGTCCTCTACCACGTTTCAATTCCTATTGATTGAGCATTTCTGGATCTCAATAGTAGATAGCTTCTACTTTCCAGGTTCACAAGTCTTTTCTGTTGTTTTGAAAAAGCATAAGCCATTTCACCATTTCTACCACCACCCCTCAACTTACAAAGGTAGCTTTTTTTTGACTGCAAGTCACTGGACTTCATAATAGTTTATTGTGGTAGTAATGGTTGTTTTTAAGTTCAGATTTACATTTAAGACTGAAAATGACTTCTAGCTCTTTTCGTATGCTGGGTGCCACCTAAGCATTAACAAACTGCTTCTCACACCATTTTATGGTGGTAAACCAATTCTGAGTTTTTTCAATTATTTTCTAAAAATTGCATTCAACTGGACTTCAATGTTAATTTACTGAAACACTTCATTGTTCAGAGTGAGTCAACATGAAGATAAAGGTTTAGGTATCTTCAAAAACTTCAAACCCAATCTTTGATCAGTCTATTAGTTCAGTGTGGCTACTTTTCACCAGTTGCTTTAAAAAAAAGGGTTAAAGATAATACCAAAAAAATCAAGTATTTCAAGTAAAGATTCCCTCTTACTATTTTGTAGTTATCTGTATCAAAGTTAACTCCTCTAATAGATAATAGATTATAAATTCCTTACAGGCAGGAGCTGCATCTTAGTCATTTTGGCCTAAAAGTAGCTCACAAAAGAAGTACTCCATAAATGGTTACTGAACAAATGAAGGCAGTAAATTGAGGTATCATGATTGAGGTAGCAGGAAAACCAGGTGTCAAGTCCTGCCTTTGACTCATGCTAGCTCTGTGATCCTATGTAAGTCACTTAACCTTTCAGTGCCCCAGGCAATTCACTAAGACTGAAAATTACAGACAAATTACTGATCTGAATTGGGAGAGGGAGTTTCCACAATGGGAGTTCTCTACATGGTTGAAATCTATACTGCATTTTAAAAAATGGAATGTTATATACTAGATAGGGATCAGAAATTCATCTTAAAATTCAAATATTTCAGACTATGGAGCAGTTCTTAACTTGAGATCTGTGAGAACTTTTAAAAAATTGATAATTATATTTTAATATAATTTGTTTCCTTTGTAATTCTATTTATTTTATGCATTAAAAACATTATTCTGAGGAAGGAGTTCACAGTCTTCACTGTCAAAGGGGTCCATGACACAAAAAAGATTATGTTACTTGTAGCTACTTTTCTCATTCATATATGGTCAATAAAGGTATCTCATTTCTCTTTCAATATTGAAATGCATATTCTAAAGTTAATGGCTATATATATATACCAAGCTGTTGGTAGCAGCAATTTTTACAGTAGCAAAGAACTGAAAACAAAGTAGATCTCTATCGGTTGGGGAATAGATACACATATTGTGGTGAATAAATGCAATGGAACATTATTTTTCTACAAGAAATAATTATATGAAGAATACAGAGAAGCACGACAGAACTTATATGAACTCTTATGAAGTAAAGTGAGCAGAATCAGGAAAACAATATAAACAATGACCACAACATACAGAAAGAATTGAAATCAACACTAGTGATATCATAATGATCAAAATTATTAAAATTGTGAATACCTATTGACACAAAGAATTAAGGATCCATGTGTATAAAACATTTATGGCAGTTCTTTTCGTGGTAGCAAAGATTTGGAAACTGAGGGGATGCCCATCAGTAGAGAAATGGCTGAAAAAGTTATGGTATATGAATCTGATGGAATACTATTGTACCATAAGAATTGATGAAGGGAATGGTTTCAGTAAAACACAGGAAGACTTGTATGAATTGATGCTGCAGAGTGAAGTGAGTATAACAAAGATAACAATTTATGCAATAACAGCAACATTGTAAAGACAAACAACTTTGAAAAATTTAGGAACTCTGGTTAACACAATTACCAACCATAATTCCAGAGGAGTCAAGATGAAACACGCTACCTGATAGAGAGGTGATGGACTCAGAGAACAAATTGAGACATGATTTTTTTGTTTTGTTTTTGACATTGCTGATGAGGGGGTTTGTTTTGTTTGACTATACGTATCTGTAACAAGGGTCTTGTTTTTGTGGCATATTGGGGAAGAAGGCAGGAGGGAGACAATACAGATTTGAAAGTGCAATAAAATTTAATTTTAAAAATCATAATGACCAAGCTTGGTCCCAGAGAAGAGATATGAAAGATAGCTTTCCCTGGTTCTTTGCAGAGACAGTGAGTGGACTATGCAAGACGGCATATAATGTCAGACTTTTTTTTTATGTGTAGGCTAGTGTTGCTAAAGTGTTTTTTTTCCCCTTTTTTCCTTTGCTGTTACAAGCAATGGTTCTCTGAGAGTAAAAGAGGGACCTATGTTGGAAAATGCTGATAATTTAAAAACAAAAGATGGCAATAAAAATGTACTAAAAACGAAAAATAGTTCTCCAAGTCAGATTCTTCACCTCAATCATTCTTCTTACCTTTTCTTCATTGTTCACAATTCCTTTGTAGGTCTTCCACTTGGGACTGAGATTTTTGAAATTCATCACAAAAGACTTAACATAAAAGTTGAAATTTGTTTGGGTGGATCCTGTAGTCCTAATCCCTTGTAACAAGATAGTTTCTCTTGGTTAGTTTTCTTTTTAAACATTTCCCCCCATATTTAGGTATGTATACCACATTCAAAATCTCCTAAAACTTCCAATTTCATTTTTTTCCTATAATATGTTAACATGTTTCTTTCTAATTACCTTCATTTTGCTGGTCAGGAAAGAAATAGTTTCAGAGATAATGGAATTTTGTTTTAGAACTGTAGCTATTATTCTTCTCTATTTCTTGGAAAAAAACTTCATTTCATGTGTTTTATAATACATATTATATTTTTATATATTACATATACTATGTAACAGTGTATATATGATACATATATGATATAATACATAGTATATATTATATATGCTATATAATATATTACATAATATGTTATATATGGTATAATATAGTATATGTTACAGTATATACAGTATATATTATATCTATACTATATAACATAGTATATATTTTTATATAATGCACAGCAAAGGAAAACAAAATCCTCAAAATCTAAAATGTATATTTTAAACTGAAGAGCTGCTGAATTATCTTCTCACTTTCATCTCCAAATAAATGTTGGTTGTGGAAGACAAATGGAACCAACCCAATATGTGTCTCTCGTTCTCATACCTTGAAGTTTTGAAGAGTCATTTCATTTTTAAAAATCTGTAAAGTGCTTTGTCAGTCAGTAGTCTGTCAATAAGCATATGTTAAGTACATATTATGTGCCAAAACCCAGTACTAAATACTAGGGATACAAGGAAAGGCAAAAGACAGTCCCTGCTCTTGAGGAGCTTCTAATGTCAATGATGGAAATAAAATGCGAACAGCTATATACAGACAAGACACGTACAGGATAAACTGAAGCTATTCAGCAGAGGGAAGGCACTAACATTAAGCAGGATTAGGAGCTTTGAACTTTTTAAAGAGGGACCCTATGTAAACCGAAAGTATTATCTCAATGTAGCCTGTTATGAAATGAATTCCCAAATGTAGCACTTCTCTATACCTACAAAATTAAATTTTAAGTGCTTCAATACCTGTTATTTTCTTTGTCTCACCCAAATCTATCTCCAGCCACTCCCCAGATTTGTGGTTGGTGCTGGTGTCTCCTGAAGCCCATGATGGTCCTTGGTCCTGGAGCCAGGCCTGGGCAGGAGACCAATGAATCTCTTCTCCATTTTCATTGACCCAATGCCAAGAGGAAGAAGCTGTGATTTGCCTGGCAGGTTCCAAACTCAGAGATTTATTGCACCCTGCAATAAAGGAAAAAATACAATTCAGGTACAACTCTAGTCATGGATGGGGAAAGAAAGCAAAGTAAGCATAAAATCCCATATTGGCCTAGAATTACTCAGCTGATCTTCAGGTTATTGATTTGATAAGGATGCATCAAGTGCCTTAGGTGAACATGGAAGAATTAGGAATTTGTTTGCATGTTCCAAACTTGTATTTAATATATGGATACTGGAGTAGTTTACAGATCTTATGTACTTTCATATTTTTCAACTTCCAAATACCCACTTGGAAACCTGGTAATTTGTTCACTATAAACATATCCAATTTAGGTTATACCTTACACCCCTGTAGACCTCCTTTGTGTCCTCTTAACCTGACCCAGACCCGCTATGCCATTCCTGGCTTAGTTAGTTAAGCAATCAGGGCTCAAATCTGACAGGGTTAAGATTCAGCAAATTTTAAAAGAATGGGGAATAATGATGCTAGGAGCTGGAGAATGTCAGACTGCCATGGCTGATGCCCTTAGGACTGGTAAATCATTCCAATACGTCCTCCCTTTGAGGGAATTGTGGGGAGTGGGACAACAAGTGGTTAATTATAGGAACTGAGTGAACCACACTGACTCTATCTTGTGACTCAGTTCTGGAGCTAGCTCAGTTCCCTTTCTATACAATTATAGGTTCAGTCCAACTTTTGTCTTGTGAGAAACCTTTATTGTGAAAATTGGGAGAAAACCTTATTGTACTGTTTGAACCTAGCCCCGCATCACTGGGAAGCTAGACCACCTCTACCTGCTGTTTAGAAACCTTTAACTATGGCCCTAGGTTATGCTGACCAGAAACCCAGTCAGCCCAAAGATTGATGCAAGGAATTTTCTCACAATCGTACATCTCAAGCAGCCCATATGTTATACCTGAAAACTGGTCCCATACTGATCAATCAGTTATTATTTCTATGTTCCTTTGATTGTTCACAGACAGTTGGGGAAATAGGAAACCTCTTTTTCTGAATCGTATCTGTTTACTTTCCCCCTCCCAACTTGGGAAGTCCCTAATCTTTCCTCCAATTAGAAATCAGATTACCTAATGTTGTATCCTGATTGTTTTCTTTTAATTAATTGGTCTTATTTGATTCATTGTTTGTAATGTATAAAAGTCAGTCTCCCCTGTATTTGGGGTCCAGTGCCAAAACTGAAGAAGGTGACTGGTCCTGATTTATTGGGCAATTAGCCTGCAATATTCTTGGAAGCTCAAACCTTTGTTTCCTCAGTCATTTCATCTTTCACCCACCACCCACTGATACATTATCTATTTTTTATCTAGGACTCTGTGTTCCTTTACTCTGTTCTATCATATCACTAATGAAAACCTCACTGCCAAACTAAAATATCTCTCTTCCCTGCCCAGACTGAGAAGCTGAGTGATTATGTGTATCTGTGTATCTATCTATCTATCTATCTATCTATCTATCTATCTATCTATCTAT